TTAAAATTTTATTATAAAAATTAATTTTTAAAAAAAAGATGCAGGCAAATTTGCATGCAATACAATTTAAGAAATAGGTATTGCCATTCTGCATATTGCTTTTTTCTTTGCAAATATATCTGCTCTGTTATTCTACTTATCATTGCTGTAACTCTTAACTTTAACTAGCTTGACTCTGTTACTCTTGCTTTTGATTAAAATCACAATATTTATTATCTACATTGCATTTTTTTTTTTAAGAACTTTGTCATCTTCTAACTTTTGGATTGCTCTATTAATGTTTTTTAGCATTGCAAGACTATCTATATATACTTCTATCTTCTTTCTCTCTGAAACAGTTAAGATTGCTGATCATATTGCTATGAATTCTGCTGTTGTTGCTAAAGGCCAGCCTTCAAGTCTTAATGCTATTTCTTCTTCTGACCAATTTCCTTCATTACTGATCTGTGCCCAACTAATGCCTATTTTTTCTATACTATTCTCTCTTTTTTCTTTATATAATGCTCTATCTGTATAAAAAATAGACTTGTCTTTGTTTTTTATCTTGTTTCTTGTTAGAACTTCTATTAAGTATGTTGTAATTTTATTTTCTAATCTTTGCTTTTTGATTAATTCTATCTCGAGTTCTTTTATTTGTTTCAGTCTGATTAGTCTTTCTTCTTTTTTTTTCTATTACTTTATTGTTCTGTTTTCTAATATCTGTTCTAACATTGCATCAATCTTGTTACTGCCTTTTTTTACTAGTGTTTCTAGGACTGCTTTTATATTATTGTTCCATCTTATCTACTTTTTATAATTATCTGTTAATTGATCTGTTTCATTTTCACACCCCTTGTATTTACTTATCTTTATGTATGTTTTTACTTCTATCTTTCACAAAAGCTAATATTTAGCTAAAATCTTTTTTTTTTTTTAATATTTTGCTAAGTTGTTGTTTGTGTTTCAGCCTATGTATGATCCACTTTTTCTTTCTTCTGTCTTTAGATGTTTTTGTCTACTTAATTGTTAGTGCCTAAGTATTGTAGTCATTGATCTTGTATTGGTTATATATTTCTCTGCTTGTCTGTATTATTAACATCTTTTCTTTTATTTTATTGAACTATTTGGCTTTTTTCCCCTTATATGACAGTTTATAGAGACTTTTGAGCTGTTTTTATGTGATTAAGCTCTGTTCTTTCATGTTTATGAGTTGATTCAGATATAGTAAACCCTATTCATTTATTGTGCTACTATTTGCTATCCAAGATTTGGTTCTAACTAAGTCTCTTATTCTTGTTTTATAATCATAAACTTTCTATAGATAGTTTTTTGCTCTGATATTTATTTTTATTTCTTTTGCCTTAATTATTATATGACAAGCTAAATTGTGTTTTCAATACTTTGTTTCTTCTGGCCTTCTTTTAGACTCTCACATATCTTTTATTAAGCCTGCTTTTTGGTATCCTTGTACTATTCTAAGCTTTGTTAGATCATCTAAAGAATTTTTTTATTAAGTCTTGTAAGTAAACTACTTATTTGCTTTGTTGCTATTTCTTAACTTAGCAATTTACAGTTTTCTAAATCTTTGTGCTTAATTGTGCAGTTGTTTGTAGTTTTCATTATGTTGCATTTATGTTTGGCCAAACATATTATTAGTTGGTGAATTCTGTCAATCATCTTTTCTAATATTTTTGTTAGCTGCAAAAAGTATCCTAATTTTGGAATTATTACTATATTGTTTATATATGTGATTTGGCTCATTGTTATTTTTTTATATCTGAGATTTTTGACTATTTGATTAACTATTTCTTTTGCTTTTTTGCAGACTAATGATTCTTTCATTCTGCTGTTTAGCCAAATCTCCAATGCTCTTATAATTTTGTTTTTTGGTTCTTCTATTATTCTATTCTGTCCAAATATAATTTTTCTATTTTCTTTTTTCAGTTTAGAGTTCATTACTATGAGTTTTGATTTTGCTTTATTTATTTCAATATTATTTGCTTTGAAGAACTTCTTTGCAATTTTAAGAATTCTTAGCAGTTAATTTTTACTATTTGTAATCCATATAGTATCATCTGTATAAGCAATCACTGCTTGCTTATGTTTTGTAATACAATTAATGTCTGTATTGCTTAACATCTCTTGTTCTACTATATAGCCTAATGATTTGTCTTCTTGGATTCTTTTCAACAGTGAATCATAAAAAAGCTGCCAAATTAGTAGAGAGATTACCTCTTCTTGATTTATATCATTTCCTGCTATTATTTCTTCTGTTAAATCATAAGCTGTAATTACTTTAAATTGTTGTTTACAAAAGAGGTTAATAATATATCTTTTTGTTCTTTGTGATATTTTGACTCTTTTGAGAGTCTACTTTAGACTTTCTAGTAGAACTAAGTCAAATGCCTTCTTCATGTCTTGCAAAAGTATCCATGCTTTTTTAATTTTCTTTTGAGCTTCTTCTATTATCATATTTAGTATATGTATTGGTTGCTTTGTTGAGTTGCCAGACAAATCTGTATAGTTTGGTCTTTTAAGAATTTGTCTCTTCATAAGTATCTTAGCCAACCTTTTTGTTACTACCTTTGTAACTAACTTCCTAAAGATCTCAATTAGTACTATTGGTCTGATATTGTTCAGATTATATCTTCAGTCTACATCTTTTAAAATCAGATAGACTTGTGCTATTTTCTACTTTTTTGGCATTTTACCTGTTTCTAGAACCAAGTTTGCAAAAGCTCTAAAAGTCTTTTGTGATTTTTTTCCTGCTTGTTTTATTAAAGTGTAGCTTATGTCTAAGATTTCTGAAGCTGTATTGGCTTTAAGTTTCCTTAATGTATCTTTCTACTCTTCTTTTTCTATTCTTTTCTTCAACTTTTTATACCAGGATTCTTGTATCTATTCTCTTGGACTGTATATTCCTTTTCATTCCTCTGACATCTTTTCTAGCTTGGTTCTTCATTTTTTGAATTGATTCTTAAAATGCTTTGTCAGACTGTTTAGAACAGCCTCAGGCTCTGTTGTTAAACTGACTTCCTTTTTATTTTGGACTATGAATTTGTCAAGAATTATCTTTTTGTATAGTTTGTTCAACAGACTAGCAATTATTCGTCCTTGATCAGTTTTAATCATTTCACATCTTTTGTTTATATTTTCTTTTATTTGTTTTCTTTGTACTCATTCTCAATCCTTTTTTTTTCTGTCTTTCAAGATTCTCTGCCAACCTTTTATATCATTTAACCAAGCCTCTGATCATTGTTTGTATAGTTTTAATAATACTACTCTTATTTCTTTGCCAATGTTTTTAAGTTTATTGTTTATTTTTTCTCTTTTTCTTTTTCTGCCACTTGGTTTCTTCTTATTTTTGCCTTTTTTATTATTTGTTGTAATTCAATTGTATGTCTGCACTGTTGTGACTTTCTTTGATAATGTTTTTTATTTGCTTTTGTATTGAATATCTTCTTTTTTGGTATTCATTTATTTCCTACTTTTATTATAGCTTCTTTTATTACATTCTACATATAGTTCAACATGTCTGTACAGTACACATTGCTTGTTCTATTTTCTTCTAATTACTTCAGCACTTTTTTCTACTCTAATTGTTCTTGAAGCTCTTTAGAATATTCTTCCTAATCTTCTTGTTTTGCTTCCTTATATAAGTATATTGTTCTCATTTGGTCTTAGTATTTAATTGCTATGCAGCTGTGATTTGTAATTACATGCTCTACCCATATGTTTATTGTTAGTATCTTTTGGTTACTGTCTGTTATATTTTTTGTCTCTTTTATACTAGCTTTTTGAAGGCCAGCTGTAAGTGTCTCTAATAACCAGATATAGTTAATTCTTGTTACTGCTTCTTGATTTAACCATGTATACACTTTTTTTGTTAAATGCAAGCTTCTAAAAGAGTCTATAAACTCTTGCCTCTAAGCCAATTAAAGATTGGTAGTTTTTTATATTCTGTTGTTTGTAAATTTAGTCTGTCTAGTATATTGTTAACTGTGTGATTAAAATCTCTAAGTATAACTACTTCTGTATTCTTTTTCCTGCTTGTTACTATTTTTATGATTTTTTGTTATATTTTTTTACTGATTATCTTGTCATTTGGTAGAATATACACACCTACTACTATCAGTATTAATTGTTTAAAGTATAGCCTTATTTCTATCATGTATTTACTAAATATTTTAACTACTCCAACATGTTTTTCCAAGTTTCATCTATTAATATCCCAATATCTGATTCTTCTTTTTTGTCCTATACTGCACTTGTCCAGTAATCCTTAAATCTTGTATTAAGATTATATAACAGGATTTTTTCCTTTTTTTCTATGATGTTTGTTTCTGTTATATCCAGAAATGCTATTTCTTCATCTTCTGCCTAGCCTAGCAGGTTTTTTAGTTTCTAATCTCTGGTTTTAAGTTTATTAACATTGTAACATGCAATTTTTATTTCTTTTTTCTCTTTTTTCTATTTTTTCTTTAAGCTTTTGTATTTTGTTTCTGTATTTTCTGCTTTTTTTTTTTTTTTTCTTTTTTTTTTTTTTCTTTGGATTAGGAGATTTGCCTTTATTTTTTTTTTTGAAGGCCTTTCTCTTACCATGCAAAAAATTTTCAATCTTTTCCTTCATATTTGTGAGTTTAACTAGGATGCTCTTAGAAGTGATTAGCTAGACTCTTCTTAGCTTTGTTACTTGTTTTTTCTAGTCTTTCTAGTCTTTCCCAAATTTGCTCTAAGATGTTCTTTATATATAGCTCTTTTTCTTGTCTTTGTGTCTTAAATTCTTTTGTTCTTCTTTCGATATTCTTTTTTTTTTCTTTCTTGTATTTGTGTCTCTTGATTGGTTTCTTCTGTATTGGTTTTGGGGTTTGCTTCTTTCTTTCAGTGAAGTGTCTTCACAACTTATACTATTTCTGTTTCTATTCTTGTTTAAGTAAGCCTTATTTCTTTGTTTTTCTCTGCTGTTTTCATTTTCTTCTGCATCTGAGGTCTGGTTAAATCTGTTTCAATTTTTTCCTCTTTTGACTTTAAAACTTTCTCTTTCTCTTGTCTTTTTTTTTTCTTCATTAATCTAATAAACTCTGAAGTTGTTATACAAGATTGGTTTCATTTGAGCTGCATTCATGTCTCTTTCTGTTGCAAATATAACTATTGCTGTCTTTTTTTGGTTTTCATTTCTATTTGAAGGAATGTAAACTGCCTTTACACTTTTGCTTCTTAGACATTACAGTAGTAGGACTTCTAAGGCATTTCTGGGTAATTCAGTTAGCTTTGCTATGTATTTTCTCTGTTTTTCTTTTGCTTTATAGTTTTCTTCTTCTCTGGTTACTTATACTAGTTTATCATTATTAACTAGTATAGCCTATAAAATGCCTTTTTCTTTTTTTTCTTTTTCTATCTGCACTATTGCAAGTGCTTTGTACTTTGATCTTTTAATTTTTATTACTTAAGCATTCTTGAATCTTCTACAGATATATTCTAACTTTCTTCTGTTGATATCTGTTGGCAAGTCTCATATCATTATGCATGTTTTGTTATTAGATTTTTCCTTCATCTTATAGTCATTTAAGTCCTTCTTGATTTTGTTTTCTTCTTTGTTATATATTTTTTCTCTATTTTTTATTATGCTATTTCTTCTTTTTTGGTATTCTTTATTGTATAGTCTTTGTTTTTCTTTTTTGTCTTCCTACTTTTCTGGTATTAGTTTATACCAATCATCTTCTTTTCTGTTAATTCTTTAAATTGCTTTATTTCTACCATGCTCACAATCAAAATCTATTTCTATTCACAAGTTTTCTCTTTTAAAGACTTCTTTAATGACTTTTAACATGTTTATTATTTTTTAGTAACCACTTGATGAATTTTATATGTTCTTCTTTTGTTGTTTCTGGTATGTTATATGCTAGTATATTGGCAAGTAGACTGTTATGTTGGTTGCAATTTCTTTTACTTGATGCCCACATGCTCTTCTCCTACTATATTGATTTCTCTCTCGATTTCTTATTCTATTTTAAGCTATGCTTTTGTCTTTTTTGTTGTTATGTTATGTTTTGGCTCTTTTTAATTTGCATCTGTACTCTTTTGCTTATGTTTCTCTATTTCTTTTGTGATTTCTTGTTGAACTTTTAAGCTAGTTTTTTGTATTTTTTCTTTGTATCGCTTGCCTTCTTCTATATCTACTTTTACTAGTAGCTCTTGTTTAATTTCTTGAGTTAAATTTATTTTTGTTGGTTGAAGTTGTTTTTTGATATGTTGTTTGTTTGTTTTAAAGCAGGTTCTATTATTATTGCATAGTTACTTTGTTCTAATATGCTTAGCTTTTTTTCTAACTGCTTTTTCTTTACTTTTTCTATTAGGTTTCTTGTTAATCTCAATAGTGCAATCTCATTTGAATTTTGTTCTGTTAGCATAGTAACCATTCTTCCTCTCTATCAGGTGTAACACATATCTTACTTGCTTATTTCAGAAATACCTCATTGTGTATACTATTAATAGCCTAGTATGCTCTTTTGATAAATGTTGTTATTAAACTGTCACTATGTTTTTCTAATATATTTATATTTTGTCTTAAGTTGCACACATATATGTTTTGTTTAGTTTGTATGTGATCTGTTTGTTGTTTGTTTATGTTCTTATGATTACAACAGATTTGCAATACAGGATTAATACCAATTTCCTAAAATTTTGTTTTTCATATATTTTCTTCAAGAAAAAATTATTGTTTTTCTTGTTTCTCTTGTTGGTCAGCTTATTTTTTGCCACTTTTTCTTTTTTTATACCTTTTCTAGATGCTCTTCTATTTTACTTAGGCCTATCAGAGTGGTTCAGATAGCCATTTTTGTGTAAATCTGGTTTTTGCTTCTTGCTAAATTTGGTTTAAGTGATCAGCAGAAAAAGTTATATCCTAACCTAATTTTGAATTTTTTGCAATATTATAAAATTATTTTATTTCAAAATAATTTTGTATTAATTACAGTTATTTTAAAAGATTTTTAGTATACAAAATCTTTTACTATATTTTGTATATTTATTTTGCTAATAATAATATTTATTATAATATTATTATATATTGTTATATATTGTTATAATTATTTTTAGTTGTATTTAGAATAACATTTATAAGAAGACTTTTTTTTTTTTTTTTTAATTGTTAAGGTGAGGTTATGCCCTCAAGTCTTTATTAGTATATTGATTATAGCTAGTACAATTTTTATCATACATCATCTATCACTATATATCTATTCAGACATAGGACTCAGACGTCTTTAT